CATACATACATACATACATACATACATACATACATACATACATACACACATATACACACACACACACATATATATATATATATGTTTGCACGCATGTACGTACGACTGTATGTGTTTGTTTGTATGTGTATGGATGGATGGATGGATGGATGGATGGATGGATGGATGAATGGATAGATGGATGTGCATGTATATATATATATATATATATATGACGTAGATATACATCGCTTTTCTTGCCAAACCATGTTTGAATTGCGCTCTGCGTCTGTGGGTCAGTCTGTCAGTCTGTGTATCCAAATATTCCATCTTGATACCTAGAGACGACAACTACTGGGCAGAGGGACGTGCATGTGTATACTTATATACATGTACATGTACTCATATTGAGCCAGAGAACTGGAGGCAGAGAGCAAGAGAAAGAAAGACAGAGACAGAAAGAGAGAGAGAGAGAGAGAGAGAGTAAGAGTGAGCGAGGGAGGGAGCCTCCAGCCCAATGTCTCCACCTGCGACGTGTCTAGCGGGTTGCGTCAGCCCTCTTTCAATTGCGAAGTTTGATTGTAGAAGACTGGCAGTGGCGTTGCATTCCGGGCTGTGCCATTGGCTTTCAGGTCGTCAGGCCGAGCAAGATATTGTAAGCTACCTTTGTGAAAGAACCTGTGTTGGGTACTCTGCAAAAAGTCCATGTTCATTAGCGCGAAAAGCAAAAAGGTTAAAAGAGTGTAAACTCTGCCGTTGGCTCTGTTGTGCATGGACTTTATCGTTCATTCCATTTGCTTTCATTGAGCCGATATGCTTCCACAGATCCTCATCCGTTTGCTGATCTGAGGTATGTCATCGGGGATTCGCATGTGCTGCCAACGTCTTGGCAGACGGTGGAGTTCACGACCAGCCGCGGGAGCTATCACTACGTCATGGTCCCTATGCTGGTCACCGGGTTGAAGATCTGGCACCTGCGGGACGAAAGCAACTTCTACACGAAGCTCCTTGGAAGTTTTGAAGCCTACGGGCTTTCATAGGGCATATAGGCCATAATATCTAAGCTGCGAGGATGATGCCAGATTCCTCGGACACCTACTGCGGTGTGTTGGGCGCTGCTGTCTTTCTCTCAAGTAGCCATAACTGCTTGTTGTAGGACTTTTCTTTTGCATAAAACAGAGAAACTTTGAATCTGCTGGGACACCGAGGATACATGTGTATATTACAGTGTATATATATATATATATATATGGGGGGGGTTTCCGAAAATAGGGGACTCTACTATAGTACCCTAACCCTAAATAGTAGGATCCTTATTATAAGGACCCCAAAATAAGGTACCCCAAATTTCCGGAAACTCCCACATATATATATATATATATAACATACATACTATACACGCCCAGGTTTGCTTTCTGGGACAAGCTCTCGGTCTTGCCTGTAGAGGCTCCCGTGATGCCACTCGGACGCAACCTCTACTCGGAGGTTTCGGGGACTTACCCTAAGGGTCCTAAGAACCTATATGGGTAGCTCTCTAAATGAGGGTCCGTTTGAGGGTCCTTTTTATAAGGGTGCTGTACTATATTGGGGACCTAGACAAGGACCCTAATTTAGAGAACTACCCATATAGTAGTATGTAGGGTTTCTATAATAGGAACAGCTATTTTGATTTGGGGAGGTGTAGGACCCTGTGGGTTAGTATGTTGGGTTTGGGCTTTACAGGGCTTCAGGGCTTTGGGACTTTGTGTTATGGCTTAGGGTTCATACTATTTTTCTCTGCTTGCGGCTTCAGGGTCCGTGGACAAAGCCTCTTGAAGTCTTGGGCATGTAGATTTTCAGTCGTGGACCCTGTGATCGAGATCCTGAGTCAGCCATGTTGCAGCCAGTATAGTCTTTGGCCATTTGTGGAAGACGGTTTTCGGATCGTGCTCGTGAGGTTCATCTTGGGTGAGATTGACTGCCGAGAAGGTGTCCTCAAAGCTGTGCAGAAGGTCGGCCGAACTAGGCGTTGCTTTTGTAGTATCACAGCCCAGATGTAACAGTGCATTTCGAAGAAGGCACAACCGGATGTGGTGTTTTCAAAACGAAAGCGCTCGGTCTTCGTAATGCTGTGAAACTTTGAAAATTGCAATGCAAGTTTTACAGCATAAGTACCTCCCGCTCGAAGCAGGATGCCCATGTATACAATTGTCAGATCCCGGTGAGAGTTAATCAAGCTGCCTGGAAGCTTGCAGAAATTGGATCCTTGTAACACAGACTCTGTGAGCTCAGGCTCTCAGAGTGTAGGACCCTAAACCTCTTCAAGACTTGATCATCTCAAGCACTTCCAAGAATTCTTGGAGTTCGCGATTCCGAGGCTTGCAGAACCGGTAACCAGATATTGAGCCGCAGAGGGTGCCTCACGAAACTGCAAGGAGACAACAGCTCTCACTCGTACCTGTAAGCCATAACATCTAAACCCGAAGCCTCAAATCCGCTGAGCGCGCTGCCTTGCAAGCCCAAACACCGGGAACCACAGGAAGCGACCAGATAGTGTCACCAAAGAGAGCAACATACCATGGTGAGAGCTTTACACCACGAGCCGTTCTACCTAATTGCAGTGCTCATTGAAGTGTCAGTTGCTCACCTTCAAAGATGTTACATGTATTCAACCCCAAAACGAAACGCCAATGCTAGAAGTTGCGCTGGCAGCGGCCCCTCCTCGGTGTGTGTGTTGGTTACCGCAGTTTTGCCGAATCTACAGCTGAGAGATGCGTTCCATGTGATACGGTTGATGGACAAAATCCGGCATGACCCTATATACCTAAACTATGGGATTTATGGTACTATACTATATTTGGGTCATGCAGACTTTTGTCCATCAACAGTAACAGTATAAATACTGATTCAACCCCAAGAGTCCAAAAATTACAGCTCGGTTGTAATTACCGAAACCCCTGTTCCAGGGCAAGCACGAAAGCGTGGAGGATGCTTTGTACCTTCTCATTGGGTGCCGTGCCTGGAACTCCCGCAGCTTTATGTCAAGGACTTCTAGGATATGGGATGTTTATATTTTGTAGTTGCAGGCGTAGTACCTGGACAAAAGCCAGAAAGCAGACCACACTTGCATAGGTGTGAGAGAGGTTCGAACCATGATCTACAATGCAAGAGACATGGGCAGATTCAGAAAAAAAGGGGCCCCGATGTAGATGCGACATAGTAGCAACGCCATCAGTCTTAAAGGACCCAGAGGTACCGCATTTTTTAAGCACCCCCATGTTACCCAGAAGCAAAGTGGGATGAGAGCCACAGGGAAGTCCGTGGAATGATGCTGAAGCCGAGCCCAGCATCCCAACATCCTCGAGCTCCTCAGTTGAGGGTCTGCCCTAAGCAATAAGCCGTTTTGGGTTTAGGGTTTAGGGTTTAGGCTCGACAGGCCAGAACCAACAAGCCTGCTGCAAAAAGGGTTTAGGGTCGTGGGACAGAGGCCAGGCTCGACATTCCTACTTCGAGGATCATGGAACATAGAAGGTCAAGTTACAAGTACCTCATTTGCGGCTGTCCGTAATTATAAGACTGGCTGCCTTGACATCCCTAGTTTCTAGGACCTAGACCCTTTGAGTCGGAGAACCCCCCCCCCGCACGGATTTCTGCAGCCAGGCACTACACGGAAGTCCTCAAGCGCATTCGCAGAAAGCTGGTTCACAATGACCTCTTCCTCCACCCTGTGCAGCTTGGGCCGGATCCGTCTTGACCTTAGGGTTCCCCCCTTAAATCCCGAAATACTGTTGATGATATCAGTCCTGCATTACCTTAAGGACCTTAAACTCTGGGAATTATGGTATACTCCTTATTATGGGTAATGCAGGGTTTATATCATCAACCGTAGTACAGTATCTGAAGCTCATCTCGATCCAGAAGAGCCTCAGGGAATCGAAGCTTACGGCTAGGCTTGCAACTCCCGCCCTGAACCCTTCACTTCATGTGGCCTGGTCCCTAGGCAAGGATGACATGAACAAAGCGGGAAGCGTAGGCAGCGACGCTTTCAACATGACCATCATGAGGAAGATGCAATCCTGAACCCACCACGGGCACCAGCACCACCCTTGCCATTTTTATCCAATGAATCATCACCACGGTTCATCATTATCACCGTCATTGACATCCTCATGGACATATGCAGAAACTTCACTTTCCTCTTCATCACCACCAGCGGCGGTAGCATTATCGTCATCATGGCCATCAGGGGCGCCACACCACGATAGCGAGCATAGAAGTCGCCGAGTGCGTTACCTTTGTTATCCTACCCAGGACATTGCCACTACATCTTGTGATTGCATGTTGTTGGTGAGACTGATGCTATCATCATCGTGGTGCTGGTGCTGGTGCTGGTGGTGCTGCTGCTGCTGCTGCTGGTGGTGGTGGTGGTGGTGGTGGTGGTGGTTTTGGTGGTTTTGGTGTGGTGGTGTTACTGATGGTGATTGTTCAGCAGCAGAACGAACGTTCTGAGTAGATACCGCGGCTTGAAGCAGGAGTCCAACACATATCACATATCCATTCTCCCCTTCCTGGCCAGCATTCTTTATACCTCACCAAACTGAAAAGCAGCCACCAGGAACTAAAATGAATGCCCAGCGAAGCCGAGGCCAACGGTGCTTCCGGAGACGCGCGCCTTGCCTGTGCTTGTCCGGCGGACGTAGGCTTCACAAGTTCGTGAGATACGGTGAACGTTTTGGTCTGGGGGACATGGTCTGGCTTTGCAGGACTTGGGCATTGCCGGGTGGGTTTCTGGTTTTAGGATTCAGAAGGGTTGAGGCTTTGAGTAGGGTTGAGCATGTTGGGGTTGAGCTTACCAGCTCGAGTTCGATCACTTCTGCGTTCGATCTGTGCAGATGTTGCCGCTTTTGCAGTAGGAGTATGGATGCTGCATTGTTTTAGGATGGCAAACCTGTTCTGTGCTTCTGGGGCGTGGATTTGAAGTTCTTCCGGTTATCGAGGGCTCTGAGACTCAAGGTTGTGCCCAAGTTACTATGAAGGCCTTAACAGCTAGAGTGTGTCATGTAATAACCTGACCATACTTATCAGGAACTCCGAGGACTAGTATTGGTAATCTGGTAACTAGTCAGACTTCTGTACTGCTCGGAGGTGCCATTGTTCATCCTGAAGTGTTTTGTGGCACGGAGGTGTGGTGAAGTCGATGGTATTTTGCTATGAGAACCGAATCTAAACACATAGCAATTGCTTATGCTACCCTTGTTGGCCCTGTCGTTTTAACTGAAATCCCGCAAGCCCCGATTTTACATGCGCTCGACGCAAGCCAGAGTGGGGCTGTCTGCCCAGGATTCCTGACCCTGGCTTTCAACAGCCTGCTTTCGGCTGCGCCATGTCAGGCCGCTCTGGCAAAGGCCAGTACCTACACGGAGTCCAACTATTCCTTCAGAAAGCCACCAATAAGGGTTTACTTGGACCCTTACGGGTAGTTTCCATGGCAGTGCCTGAGCTTGTGGCATCTTTAGGTCTAGAATCTCGTCGTCTTTAGATTTTCATGACACTGCCGAAGTTGGAGTAGAGGTGAAGATAGCGTGCCGATATCGGAATTCTAGTCATGATCTCGCATCGGCCCCGTGGCATTGGCAGGTGCGTGTGAAGCTGCTCACGCTTGACTGCTACTTGGCCTGAACTCAAATCAAGACGGTTTCTGTCGGCCCCGATGCAAGTTTCGGCCCCGTGTCTTAACCCTTTCCCTTGGCTGGTGCTGGCATCTTGTAAACACGCTTCAGACAGCCTGCTGTTCGTGTCTGCACTGAAAAAAATAAGCCTGGTGCCTTCTGGTGCCCCCGAGCCCTTGCAGACATCTTCAACCGGTGGGGCAGAAGACCGAAGTTGTGAGTTCTCCAACTCCGAAGCCCTAAGAGGTCACACGTTGATAAGTTACTGCCAGAGGTTTTCGGAAGCCAGGATTATGGGGAACGGGCTCTCAACAAATTCATGCCACCAAAAGTCAAGACAATGCAGTTATGCTTGTGAAAATGACTTTGAGGAACCACATAGGTTTGAAACTTAGGCCGTCGCATGTTTTCTCTTCATGGCTCTTGAATGTCATTCTCAGAGGCATATCTGCAGGGTCTGGGCTTTTCCTGGCAGGCATGGGTTCAGAGTGCATTTTCTTCTTCCGTATAACCCTGGCTTGCCAAAGCCCCTGGCACTGTCCTGACTTTTGCTGCAGGTGTGGGTTCAGGGACCATATTTCAGACAAAGTTGGTGGCACTAGAACGAAATCAACTGTCCCGCCCCCGCCCCCCTTTCCAAAGTAAAGTCCTGTCCTTTGAAGCGCCTGGAAACCAATGGAAAAAAGCATCCAACACGGAAAACCTGCAGAACAGCGTAACTTAGGTGCGTGTATGGCTGTAAGAGGCGCAAGAGGCTTAGCCTTGGTGTCTGGGCCATAGCTTCGGATCATGGCTTAGCACGGCAAAACCGCAGTGTAAATCCCAAGTCCTGGAGAGTGATCAGGTCCGAATTGGAAGCATCTTGAAGTTTCTTACTGCCGCCTTGTTCCCGAGGTATCTTTGAGGGAGGACCTGAAGCAGTGGCAGGGCGACGGGGTGCCCGAGACGAGTCGGAGAGATTTGTGTCTGCGTGCAAGTTCGGAGAGGTTGATGGGTTTTAGGGTTTAGGGTTTGTTTGTGCGATGCCTTCATTGGGAGCCTCTTGGAAACTAACTCAGTGGCTTTCCATCAGGGGGGGTTCTCACAGGGCATGTAGGCGCATGGCTACAGATTCCAGCCTCAACATCCCCAACACCAGGGCTTCCAGAAATCCACATTGAGAAGCGCTCTAAGATAAAGCCAAGTGTCCTTCAGCTTCGGGATAAGGCATCGGTGTGTATATATATATATATATAAGCCCTCAGCCCTAGTATTGCATCAGTCTGGCGCACTGGAACACTGAAACCTGAAACCCCGAAACGCCTCCTACCCACAAATGCCTTGAACCCTCCAAGCCCTCACCACTTTCCTTGCATCTCCTGCCATGGAAGAAAGCACGCGTCAGAAGCATCCTCGGAACCAACGCTGCAACCCGATCTAGAGATTACGGGGTTCAGGGTTTGAGGGAGTAGGAATTGTTAGAATCAGTATCCCCCGCATAGTCCCCCAAAGACCTTTCAATTTACGTAATGACTAAGGCGCCTACATTAGCCTTCAACTCTCTTTCTAAGGACCTTCATCCCTAAACCCAAGACCCTCTCTCTCTCTCTCTATATATATATATATGTATATAACCCTAAACCCATTCAGGTACCGAGCTTAGCCGACTAAATGTGCTGCCAGAATTGCGGTTGGATGGGACGCATCTGAGCCTCGGCTTTCGCAGGGATTCAGGGCGGTTAAGGCGTTTGGGCCTTGGTTCTGGGTTCAGGATTCAGGGTCTAGGGCTTAGGAGGGCCTGGGTCTAGGGCTTAGGAGGGCCTTGGTTTAAGGTTTAGGACTTAGGAGGGCCTTGGTTTAGGGTTCAGGGTCTAGGAGGGCCTTGGTTTAGGGTTTAGGGCTTAGGAGGGCCTTGGTTTAGGGTTTAGGGCTTAGGAGGGCCTTGGTTTAGTCCTGAGTTTCAAGGGTTCAAGGGAGAAGGTCGGGGTACCTCCTGGTGATTTCGGTAGTTGTTTAGGGTCCATGTAGTTCCAGCTTAAAATTCAGACGTTCGTACCATTATACTTCTAACGTTTCCCTGCGGGGTTGCTAGCAAACCCTGAACCCCATAAACCCAAACTCGTATCCTAAGCGGTCAGTTAGAGAGTCTCAACAACAGGCCCCGACCTGGCTATGAATGTTCAACTGACAGGGTTTATAGGGGTTTAGGGTTCAGGGGACTGAGGATTAGTAGCCCAGACTTTCCCATTTCCCTTGGCGAAGGAATATAGCTTAAATCAGATTCGGGATGCTACAACTTATGGTATAGCCTTCAGTTCAGGGAACCCTAAACCCTAAACCCTAAAGCCCTAAAGCCCTAAACCCTAAACCCTAAACCCTTCAGTTAAGGGACATCGGAAGGTCTGGGA